TGGGCGGACGAGGCCCGCGCGCGGGCGCGGTGGGAGCGAGGGCACAAGGACGGCGACGCGTCGGGCGCGACGGCGGGCATGCGACGCGACGAGAGCGAGGGCGTGCATGAGCAGGAGTGGTCGCAGCGGCGAGTCCGTTGTGCCTGCTGCGTGTTCGTAGAAATGATGAGGACGGACAGCTGGTGAAATGGGGTAAAAATGGAGTAGCTGCACGCAGCGAGTTTGTTTCGGCCTCTGTCCGGCATTTTTTCTCCCTGTTTCTATCCCATATGAATAAAATCTGGATAAAATGGGGTGAGTTTTAGGGTCGTGTTTTGGAGTTGGCCTTAGCACACTGGGGTCGTACTACCTGCTGATTTAATTTGCTGCTTAAATGGCGTCCTGACTCCTGACAGGCAGCGCGTATCTGGTTTGATGATGGCTGGTGTGGCGACGGGCTGACGGCCTGCACCCTCACTGGCCGGTCTTAATTTGAAGCTTCACTGCGTGCTGCGGTACGTAGTACGTATACACTTTTCTCTTGACCTTTTTTCGCACATGAAAAGCTTTTTTTCAGAGCTGATCAAATGAGGATCAACGTACGCCGTATCCTGCGTGCGTGACTAGACGTTTGAGAGCTGGCAGCTCTACTGCTTTGCCATATATACGCGCGGCGCCCAGTCTGTCTGTCCAGCCGGGATGGTCAGTCTCAGTCGCGACACATCACGTAGCAAATTTTACACACGAAGCAGCAGATCAATTAATACCATGCACGCACGCACACACGTGGCCCGTTTCCCGTTTCCGTGTCCGTGTCATGAGATTAACCCAGCACACATCACACAGCAGCAGCAGTGAGCCAGTGATACACATGCTTAGCGCAGCAGCACGCACGCAACTCTGCAAAGCAATAGATGAGCACGTAGTACGTGCCGTGGCGCGCATGCATGCGTGCATGCACGCAGTGCGTTGCGTTTGCCGTCCGCGATGCCTGCCCAGCACCACCCCACGCCCTGCGCCAGTTTCCTCGCGCAGATCATGGAAGCATCGACCACATCTCCCTCCGGCCCTAGCCAGCTCTGCTCGGCCATGATGCCTCGGTGAAAAACTTGGCAAGGCTGTTCCCTCCCGTCACAAGAGGGCGTTCGTATTGGTAGGGCTTAGCTAGGAGTGGGACTGTAGAAGCGGACGAGAGAACGAGAATCTGCCCCATGCATGCAGAGCATATGGGCCATGCACATGTCCCGACCCAACACGTACTACTACGCTAGCTCCTCCATCGCCCGTGCATCCGTTCAACACCGCTCTCGAATGTCTGGTTCGAGCTGCGTGGTGTGCAACCGTGCATACAGCCAGAATCGTGCGAGGACTGTCAGAGGCTTGAGCGAGTGAGGCGTTGGTTCGTTGTTAGCTAGCTAGCTAGCTGGTCCCGGCATGCAAATCCGCGGGATTTGAGCTAGAGTATCAACTAGAGCCGCGCTGAGAGTGAGGTCGAGCAATGTTTATTCCTAGCTTCACTGCCCGAGATTGCACACGCAAAGGGCTAGCCGGATAGCTGGGCGGGTTAGCACGTGAATAAGAAACAAGATCCACTGGTAGCATATAGAAACCATTTGGAATTAATGGGTGCTACTCGTAACCTGGTTAGATCGTTAGAGGGACTGTGATATCCTTCGAACAACTCCAAAGGATCTATCCATTTTGTCTGCCTGTGTTCGTTTGGGTCGGCGCGGATAAAAGTGGCGGCCCAACACGCCGACCCAAACCAAAATTTCGTCCGCACCGATGCATTTGCGGCCCAAATTTGCGCCTCAAATACGTCGGCGCGGACGCCGAACGGACGCTTCGCACGCCTTCCCGCTGTCCGCCCCGTCCCCGTATGGCGGCCGTCCAACTACCCGCTGCCCACGCGGTCAGCTTAATTTATGACGACGGGCCCACGCGTTAGCGACGACGCTCGTCCTTTTTTAAGCCGACCGTGCGGCGGGGCCGTCCTCATCCAAACTCGCCGTCCACATCTGCCATCCTTTGCTCCCTCGTCGCCGGCAAATCCTAGCCACCACAACCACAGCGAGATGGGCCTCTTCTCCGGTGCCAGCGGCAACAAGGCCAAGGGCAAGTCCCCCGCCACCCCTTTCCCCTCAGAGTTTCTCCCGCCTCCGCCTCCGCCTCCGCCGGCGCCTCGCCGGCAGAGGCGACGCGTGAGCGTGCCAGTGCACCAGGCGGAGTGGCACTGGCAGCACCGCTAGCCTCTCCCGTATCCCGACATGACGCTGCCGCACGACTGGCATCTGGATCCAGATAGGATCCCAGTGCCGGCGGTGCCGCGGTCGGCTCGTGCTCACGCGGAGGAGGTGCGGCGCCGGCGGGCGCTGCTGACGTCGGAGCAGCGCCTCGATGCCGCCTACGCAACCGACTCGCCCAACTTGGCGAGGTGGTTCGCCTTCGAGCACGAGGAGGCGAGGCGACGGGGCGTGCGTGAGGTCGACCAGAGGTCGCCCCACCGGCGCTCGTCGTCCGTGAGGAGGACTAGGCGGCGGAGGACGCCTACCAGGCGTCACTTGCTGCCGTCTTCCGGGAGAGCGAGGAGGACGAGCGGTGTAGGGCGGAGGCGGAAAAGGAGGCTCGGTACGAGGCGGCGGAGGCGGAAGAGGAGGCTTGGTACGAGGCGGCAATGGCGCAGGCCCTTGCCCTCTCCGCGGCGGGCGACAACATGGTGTCGCCAGTGGCCCGCCGTCCCCCATCAAGACGGAGCCGGAGCCCAAGCCGTCCCCCATTGAGCGCTACTCCTGGACGGGAGTAGTGCGCGAGTGGGTACACACGCCGACGGTCTGGATGGGAGCGACGCCGGCGCAGGAGCAGGCGTACCTCGAGCACTGGCGCAAGATTAGGGTGGCCGAGGAGCGTCGCGACGACGAGTACCTCGAGATGCTCGAGCGCGACCTCGAGGAGGAGCAGCGCGAGGCCAGGGAGGAGGCGCGCGAGGCCGCGGCTGCACAGGCGGCCGCACGACCCCCCGCGACGGTACTGCCTGCGCCGCCACAGCCCGACATGACGGCGCTCTGGAACACCGCGTTCGCCTGGGCCGGGCCGACGCCGACGCTCACCGACCTCATGGACCCCGAGGACGACGACGAGGACGCCTAGGGCAGCGCGCCGCCTCGTAGTTTAGGCTGTTTTTTTAAAATGTAAATATGGACGCGTGGACTCTCGCCGGCCTTCGTGTCCGGCTTTAATGTTTAATTAATGTTTTTTTAATATGCATGCGCTTATTTTTTTTGCGCCGTCAAAAATGGGTTCAGGCCAGCGTTAGGCGCACGCGCCGACCCAAATGCGGAAGCGAACATCCATGTCCGTCTGGCTGACCCAAACGGACAAAAAATAGACGAAATCGCCGTCTATTTGGGTCGGCCCGTTGGAGTTGCTCTCAGCTCATCAGGATTCAAATCCTGATGTTAGCATTTATTTGTGGATTTATTACAGAACTTCCGGTGATACGTATTCAGTGAGAGAAGACGTTCCCATCGACGACGAGGCGTCTACGATAACTTTGTAAATCTCAAGATGATATGTCGGCTCAGTCTTTAGGATGTGCTTATAGAGATAGGGTGCGCGTGTGTACGTTCGTAGGAGTGAGTGTATGCGCGTTATTATGAGTGCTTGTGTTTGTACTCATGTGGGTGCTACATGATAAGCGTATGTGGGGGTAGCGCCAAGAGCTCCGTGCATTACGATTGATGCCGTATTGACCAATCCGTCCCGGTTTGGAGCTAACCATGTCGACGAAACCTGACATATTCTCTCCCGCGCACAGCCAGCCCCTGGCTGAGACCACGAAAATCATCCGTACCCATGTGTGATGGTGCATACGCAAAGGCCAAAACGGACGAGAATGTGCAGCGATTCCCCTGTACAAGTATTATACTTGCACTCCATTATACTCTCTGCTTAAACACTTAAGCTCTATTTCTTCAGTTTTTTCTGTATGTGTGTGCAGTGCAAGTGGAGCGCGCCCGTGACCACCACCGGGCTAATCCACCCGCTCCATGATTCCTCTCTTTTAAGCGGCCTTGTCCTCTCCCCCGCCCATCCACCCCTATATCGCTCCGGCCGTGCCACTCTCTCCCCTTAACACCAGCTTACCATCACTCCACTCCTGCACAGTCCTCTGCACCAGACACAGCCAGCGCACGGCGAGCGCGCGCGCGCGGCCGGCATTGGCGCCGCAAGATGGCGAGCGGCTCCGGGGAGCACTTCCTGAGGCAGCTGAGCTCCAGCAACGGGCTGCAGGCCGCGCAGGACGGTTACGGCGGCGGCGGCGGCGGCGGGAGGAGGAGGGGCTCCAGGCGGTGGTCCAAGAAGCGGGCCGGGAGAGGGTACGGCGGCGGCGGGAAGGGGGAGGCGGCGTCGTCCTCGGCGGCCGCGGGGAGGAAGCGGGTGATGGTGGTGGTCGACGACAGCTCCGGGGCCAAGCACGCCATGATGTGGGCGCTCACCCACGTCGCCAACCGGGGGGACTTCCTCACCCTGCTCCACGTCCTGCCGCACTACGGCGCCGGAGCGGAGGAGGCGCCCTCCCTCGCCAACTCCCTCGGCACTCTCTGCAAGGCCTGCAGGCCTGAGGTATTATACGTGTGCCATTTCTCTGTCAAGTTACGAGCATTCTTCCTTTTTTTGGACGAAAATACTTGCATTTCCCCCCAAAAAAGGAGTGTATCCCGGCCTCTGCATCACGCAGCCAACAAAAGTAGTACATGCATGCCGTGTAACTATCTCACTATTTCGAGCTAGCTAATTGTGCTGCTTCTTTTTTGCTTCAAATCGCTATTTTGAGGAGCTTGTCTCTAGTCTCTACAGTCTAGCTTGGTTCGGGCTCCCCCTTTGGAAGCATGTGCCTGGAACCATGCCCAAGAGATTCTAGGAGGAGTTCACAAAAAGTTTGTGTTGTGTTTTACCACCAATAGAACATGTACTTCGGAGTTCATTTATTTATTGAAAAGGAGTTCCTCTGTACTCCCTGTTTCCTGTAGTAGTTCATAGAAATTAGACCTAGAGAAAATTTCTTGATATTCTATATAGGAGGCCTCTCTATATAGTCATGCAAGCGTGCTTCATTATCTGAAATTGCAAGCATGTTAACTAGGCCTAGAGAAAATGTTCAAGTATAGTCTTGCCGCCAAGAGTCAATAGCGTGAAGTTTCGGTTTCCTGGTTAATCCCGCCATCCTGAAGTTCACATGGTGAGGGAGAGACACCTTCAGTACTTGGTTAAAAACGGTGAGTCTATCCATCTGGTTGGCCCCTGTACTTTATACAGATCAGATCAGAAACATACACAAAAAAAGGGAATCACCGCCCGCCCACTTTTCATGGCCGCCGGATGGATCTCGGCAGGCCCCAACCCAAAGGTCCCTCAGCCGGCACAAAGAACGGATTAGCAAGCAAACAAGCCAAGCCAGCGGGGGCTCGCCCCAACCCCAAGCAAAAACCCACCTAAACCGGCCGTAAACATGGGCATTACTGCGTACGAAACCCAAGCCTGCCGGCCGTGATCTGCTTTTATTTGGTTGCTTGAATCGAAAGTCAGAGCCTCAATGTGGCGCAGTACACGAGTAGTACTCTACTCCCCTGTCACCGTACGTTGCATGAACTGTTGGTTTGTCCTCATGCTCATGCCATGGAGACGGGTTTTGCGTGTGGATGTTGGTAGGTGGAGGTGGAGGCGCTGGTGATCCAAGGCCCCAAGCTGGGCACCATCCTCAGCCAGGTGAAGAAGCTGGAGGCCTCCGTGCTGGTGCTCAGCCAGACCAAGCCCTCTACCTTCTGCTGGCTAAGCTGGTAAGCATCTATATATTCTCACCACGCATCAGACATACTACATCACTGTGTGTATCTACCTTTTCTTTTTAAGAATACTGTATCTATCTACCTTATCACTATTGTGTATGTATGTGTGTGTGTTAAAAATGTGAGGTCAACTATGAGTAGATAGAAACCTACCCGGCCGGGAGAATCTATCATGGTGTCAGCCTGTGCAGTGCAGTTTTTAAAAGGTGGTAGTTCAGGGTCATTCATATCTGGATCCCGAATCCCAACAAAAAACTTGAGCTGCACTGCAACATCTGTATTGTATTTACATCTCTACGTACTGGTAGTATCAGTTCCCTTGAGCCTATCCTTTCAGGAAAAGAACGCGGTAAACCACCAGCAGCAGATTTATCTTACCAACAAGTGGATTTGCATTCGAGTGAGAGATCTTGTGCAAGCAAAGCAGCCTTTTGTGATAATTGATTGATGAGCGGCTCCGGTCGAGTCACTACTCACAACCGACGGCTCCTGGGCAGGCTTGATCGGGCTCACACCCGTTGTTCAATGGCAGGGTCCATCCGTGCGTGTCTTTCCGGAAAACACCACCCGACTAGTGCAGATCCATGTGCCATCCATAAATCCCAGATGCTTTTCCTTGTCCCCCTTAGCTGCATCCCCCAACTAAGTAAAGCAAGCGTCCCATAACTGTTGGCAATCTTCATTCATGTCGACAAGATAACAGCAAAATGTAGTAAAGTAGCATCATATGGAAACCGGGTCAGGTGGTTAACTTTTCATCTTGTCATCACTAGCTGCTTCTACTAGACCTTGTCTGAATGAAGAAATGGGAACGCGTGTGTGTGTGTGTGGTGTGGTTGCAGCTTGGCGCGGAGCAGCGGGGAGGAGCTGGTGGAGCAGTGCATCAACCAGGCCGAGTGCCTGACGCTGGCGGTGAGGAAGCAGAGCAAGGGCGTCGGCGGCTACCTCGTCAGCACCCGGTGGCAGAAGAACTTCTGGCTCCTCGCCTGACCTGCCCATCCGCCATGTCCACGACCATGTTTTTATAGAGTTTGCTGCTGAGTTTGTCTGTCTAGTTCGTTCCTGCGTGATCCTCTCATATTTTACTCCCGTATATCTGTCCCGTTCTGTGCTTTTTAACCCGTCGATCGAGTATAGAAAATAAAAAAAGATGTCCGTGCAGGCGTGCGGCATGCGGCCGTGTCGTGTGTCGCTGCGGTGGATCGTGCACGCTGCTGCCCCATCGTGTTGTAAAATGTAAAGTCTGAAAGAGTCCTAGGATTTGACCCTCCTCCTACAGCCTTGCCGTCTTTTCAGTGTGTGTAATTTGTACTGCCAACCTTTTTTTTAATCTTTTCTGCTGCAAGATTGTAATCTGTACCTTGATGTACCATCATCGTGTTGTGTTGCACAAAAGACTGATGCTGTTGTTGAGTGATGCTTGCTTTGCTCGAGTATGTTGAGGTTTTCTTTGCTGCATGGTTTGCACCCAACAAAGTCACTGCGGTGGCAAGTGAAAATTGGAGGTCTAAAACGAACGAGTTTGGCATCGCGGTGACATCCAAAGAACAAGTGTCGGCCGGGGCCTGGTAAAGTGGTAATTCGCTCCAAGTTTAGGAGCAGGGGGCGCAGTGGCGCATCATTGTCTTGGCTAGGGCTAGGCATGGCCGTGGTCCACACGCGGCTGTTGTCTGCAGGGAATCCTTCACTGAAATCCCAGCACACCCGTGCCCTGATGATGGTCGTCGGCTGGGGAGCAACCGGGCAAGAACCCCGATTGCCACGTGAAGGCGCGGATGGCAATGAAAAACCCAACCGAAATCTAGGTAGCTGCAACGCTACATGTAAAATACAGGTAAAATAACCTCGGCTGAATCCACCCTTTGAAGAACCTCTGTTGAACCTTGCTTAAAAAAACAGCGTGATTCCTTCGTAAAAAATGAACATACGGCTGAGATAACTTAATCAAGATCCTGCGCAATGGGCGGGACAAGGAAACGAACACGGCGACAGCTAGCTAGCCAGGGACCATAATTTTTTTTTTAATGTTGAGGCAGGGACCATAATAACTTGGCCTGGTTCCTACATACAGACGCCGTAGACTGGTAAGACTGCAGCACCATTATGATACTCGAAATGATACGTTGGCTGGGAGAGAGCCAGTCAGTCAGCTGGATGCTAGCTAGCCTCAGCAGTCATCAGTTCATCACCAGCACACTGGCAGTAGTAATAACTCAGCCCAGTCAAAATCCCCCATCGGAGGTCCAGGCCCTGCTCATGATACCACTCTACCACCCTCCCTACCACCTGTTGCAGAACAGTTCGCGCCAATGCAAGCTAGAGGCCAGATACACTGATGGCGAACACAAATGGACCAAAAACCACAGTGAAAAGCTAATAATTCCACGTTGAAGCTGGAAAAGCGCAGAGCTGAAGGCTCGGAAACAAGCGTAACTCGCCAAAAAGTCGAACGCAGATTAAGCATGGGGTGTTCTCGCGGTGTGTTTCAAGTGGACATTAGGGTTTTCCTGCTCATTCTGGTGCGCTAGTCTGTGCAGTCGATGGCACTTGACAAAAAGTAGTAGGGTTTCTGCCTGCCGATCACTATACTGAAGAAAACTACCTGCGCCTGCGTCTCTTGCCGGTTTCGTCCATAAAGGACTCCCAGCCGTCGTGCTCCAGCTTGCTGAAATCTTCTAGCTCCGCAATGGAGAGCAGGTACTGCGTGAGCTTTCGCAGCTCCTGATCGCGGCCTCGGTTCTTACTGGCGTTCTTGAACGGTCTGATCACGAGGCCGTTCTGTGGGTTCATGACGAAGTTCCTCCTGAGGTCGTCAAACATGATCGTGTTCTTCTCGTTGTAGTGCTGCATATGGGGGAGCCGGGGGCAATGGTCAGATAACTAAGCTTGAAAATATCGCATTCATTAGTGATGCACTCGAGCACAGAACACCAACCTCGGGGAACTTAGTCCAGATGACACCAAGAGGTTTGCAGTCGAAAACCTTCTTGTCAGGAGCATGCACAGTTATCATCGCCATGTGATCCAGAAGGGCAGTGATCTTGTAGTTGGGGTTGCTGAGAACTCCAAGTTGCTCCATCTTCAGTTGCACCCATTTCATACTGCATTCAAGGATCGACAGTGATCATTTATACCAATTTCACATTGCAATCATGACTGATGAATAGATAGTTTGCGGTAGCAAAAGCTTACTTTGTTGCTGACCATATCATGATATCATACTCTGCGTATGCAGCAGCGAGAAATTCATGGAGAACTGCAAAGGAATTATGGCATGAAACTTCAAGTCTGCTGACTGAAAAACACAGCTTTGTGGAAGTGCACTTACATGGACGCATGAGTTCCAAAGGATTCTCAGCTGGAGACCTATGGTCAAACAGAGTATAGTCAATGTCTAACACAAGCAATCTTTTTCCATCGCGGCATGGATTCAAGAGCTTGATCTACATGCATAGGCACAAAAAGATGTGTTAATCAGACCTGGAGAATCACTTTATACAAGGCAACCAAGGCAAATACAGGACACAAGCGCTTTGTCATCACACCTCAAATTCATCTTACAGTAAGTTTAGCAAGGCAGTAAGGCCCAACAACTTCCGTTTGTAATCATAACCAACAGTATGGACTCCTTTTAGTGGTTGCTTCTGTTGTTGTCTCAACAGTAGGTCACAACAAAGGAGATACACACCAGAGTTATGGTTAAAAGATCATTGCTCAAAGAACTTTGTGAATCTAGGTTCAAGTATAGAGATACAAGAAGGTCCATCATTGTATTGTTACACAAGAAGACTCGCAAAGCTTTGAGTACATGGTAAATCACATAGTAATGTCTAATGTTGAAGTGTTTAAATTACTCGAAGCTGGACCATGCAGAAAGTTGGACCAATTTCACACAGATTGAAGGGGGAGCAGGCACCAAGAAGCGCATCAGAATTAACACAAATAGGTACCAGTGCAGAACTACACAAACATGCATATGGAAGAAACATATAGCAAGAAAGAAAAATGCGAAGGAAATATACCTTATACTGGCTTGCACGACGTTTCACTTTTTGCTTGTAGAGAACATTATCCTTTATAGCAGTAACTTCATCTTTGAAAAATTCATAATCATCGAGCACCTCTGGATCATCTGGTCGGTCCACAAATATTTCGTCTTCAACAGTACTGAAATTCGGTGCAAGACAATACAACAGATCTATAAATTACTGTGAGGGACCAGTGTGCACCTTCCATACGGAAGGAAACTACATGAAACGGAGCATGTTGTTTGAGGTAGAATGCACCAAAAGAGTGATTTGAATTCAAGACCTTGATTTAAAAAAAATTATAATATACTTATGTTGAGTAAAGCTCAAGGGATAAATTAACATTAATGTTGGCTCTTTCTAGCCGGGCATAAGAATGTTATCCCGCAGGCTACAGCAGTCAGTGGCAGTGCTAGCAGTTGAATCTAGTGATGTCAAAGGCTCAAACAAGTACATGTATACAGTATTTGTGTACACATATACAGTACTCCCTCCTTTCCAAATTAAGTGTCGTGGTTTTAGTTCAACCACGACACTTATTTTGGAACGGAGGGAGTAATTTATAGCTAGGTTATGCAGGCTATTTTTTTTTTTTTGTGATGCCACTTGACATCAGAATCTAGGAGTAGCTTCACCACTGACAGCAGTAATGCACACTCCACGCCCATGGCTCTTTCTTTCTATTCGGGCATAAGATTGTTATCCTACAGGCTACAGCAGTAATCCACACTCCACGCCCAAATTGTATCATCTCACTGTAAATAAAAGTAGTCCTGAACTCATGATCTATCTATGTGAACAGAATCAATTACCTCACTTCTGTAAGTATTCCACTAGTATCTTTACGAACTTTTAACTGTTGATTTATGCAGCTTAATACGATTCACCGAACAACAACCCATTATCAAAATTATTGGCAAATATGGGTAAAAATATGATAGGTAGCTAACACCATAAAACAGAATATGAAGTATCTACAAAACCGAACTTTGTTATTTGAAGTTACTACTGAAATGTGTCCAGAAAAAAATGCTTAGACACAAGGGCAAATTATGGACCCAGAAAATCACCATCCAAACAGACTAGTTTTGAATATGAAGTATAGCCACCTCATGGCATGAATATTTAGCACCTCCACCTCAGAAGGTGCAGCCCCATCACCTTCTGAGGTGGCGGTCGGCCGGCAAACTGACTTCCTCATCTTCGGATCCTGATCTGGCGGCTACGGGATTGCTCGGAGTTAGGCCAGGCGAAATCCATGCTCAGCTTACCAATGCTGGCAGCGGCAACACTCGTGCGTGTCGTTTCCCTTCTTGGAGGTGCTGCCATGGCCTTTATCCATGCCCCTCTTCGAGCTTTGGGGGAAACCCTAGGTCCAATTCTTTGGATCGGATGGCGGCGGCGGCACGACGTCGTTCCCCTTCTTGAAGGCGCTATCTTGCTCGCTCGTAGCGTCCCCGGTGTTGGATTTGGAGATGTTCGATGCCTCGCTGATTAGGCATGTCTCTCTAGTTTTAGGCTTGGTGGGTTTAGTTGTGTCCTTTTCCCTGTTTGGGCTGAGCACCCCTTTCCTCTCTGCTCCGGGTTCCATGCTCATGCCTCCTTGCGTTCATGCCATGTGTTGTATCCTCTATTGTACTCATTCTCCTTTCTTCTATCGATGAAAAGATACGCAAGCTTTGTGTATTCGCAGAAAAAAAAACAGACTAGATTTGCTCTAACTTCATTTCAAATTTCAGTTACCATCTCCATACTATGTAGACTGAATGCTACATTATCGATCTTCATAAGTAAAAGACAACAACCACCAAATGGTATCATCATAAGTCAAAAACAAATAAAAATTGTAACCATTGAAGAATAACTATCTGTTCTGATCCAAAAGTGAAAAAATGGTTGAACAAAGTTCATGATGCAACCACCAGTTACAGTTATTCAACAGGCAAACAATTTACTTACTTCAGATATTTCACTGGTGGTGGTGCCCTTAACATACTCCACTCTAAATGGGACACCATCGCAGCACACACAAGTATTATTAAAACTACAGCCCATAACTAATAATGCTTGAGCAGGTAATCTTATCCTTCTCAGCTGAAAATCGCATACTCTAATATCTATCAGCGCCAGTTGATGCGGCGGTTCGGCTGTCACCACCCACATTATTCCCCAATCCATTCGTCTAACGCTAAACTGTCAAACAGACAAGTACTTCCTGTTTTCCTTACATGGCCACACCGAAATACCGAATGCCCAAATCCACCATCAAATACGCCAATTCCACAGTTCCAGAACATATATCATACAAAGCAACTGTTCTAATCACCAACACACAACACAGACAGAAGAGATCAAACAAGCTAGGGTTTAGCGATTGGTTCACAGAGCATTCCAAATCCAGCCGCTCGCATTGCGAAACCGTGGCATCTGCGCTCGATCCCCACCAAGCTCGCATCTCCCACCGATTTCACCAACCGAAACCTAGCGTTTCCGCGGGGCGATACAAAATAATCATCCAATTCCATGCGGATGCACTGATTTTCGCAGGCACGCATCCGAACCAAGCAACTATAGAGTTAAGAGCCACGAGGAGGGCAGGGGGGATAGCGCGTACCCGATCATGGTCAGCTTGCCGTTGGGCTTGAAGGGGAGGGAGGAGAGGAGGACGGACTCGTCGTTGAGTATGAGCTTGGGGTAGAGAAGCTTCTGGCGTTTGGGCAGCACGTCGGTGAACTCGCAGATGCGCCGCTTCAGCTCCAACAGCGTGTCGTCCCCCATCGCCCGCACCGTGTACTCCTTCCCGCCCCACTTCACGACCAGCGTAATCTCCTCCGGCGGCGCCTCCTCCGCCATGAGGGAGATCGCCTCCGGATCCAGCGCCGGCGCAGGGGGCGGGGCCGAGGCCGGGGCCGCCGCCGAGGAAGAGGACGCCTCCGACATGGGCTTGGTGGTGTGTGCGGTGCGTGGGTCTGAACCTTGAACAGTCGGAAGTTTTGGGGAGAAGGAGATGGGGGATGGAGTTACAGGTGTGCGTAGCCTGGGTGGATAGGCGTAACCGGCACTTCGAAGGCGGACGCGGAAATGGTTTGAGTCCAGACCGTATTCGGTAAACCGTAGATTTTGCATTACTCCCCCGTCCCAAAATTCTCGTCTTAAATTCGTCTAGATACGGATGTATCTAATACTAAAACGTGACTTGATACATCCGTATTTAGACAAATCTAAGACAAGAATTTTGGGAAGGAGTACTATTTTTCTGCGAAATTTGAACACAGTAAAAAAACTGTGAAATGTGAATGTGTTACAGCAATGAGAACGATGCGTCCCCGCGTCGCTCCTTCTTGCAGACACGGACGAATCCCTATCTTGCCGCCACAGTCAGCATCTTTTCTCTATTCCCCTCGTGGTCGTTGGTAGGTGCCCATCGCGACACGCTCTCCCTAGAGGCGTGACATCACGATAGTCCCCCTAAATTGCGAGCAGAGGTCAGTGGTGGCAATGCCCCGCTGGCCCTCCTTGGGCATGGATCTGGCCTCTAAAGGGGGTGCAAGGTGGGGAGGGGAAGCATGGTGACCATCACCTTTAGGAGAGAAGCAGTGGGCCGGTGTCCTTGAGGCCGACATTACTTGGCGGTAAGGCCCATGTTGGTCAGTGCCCTCTATTCATCAACAACGAGACGTGGCTCCCTCTCTATGCTGGTACTGTAGGTGGTCTGCTTCCCCATCTTTGACCTTGCTCTGACAATCTTGGGGGGGGGGAGGGAGGGGTTAAGCGGTAATGGGCTAGTGCGAATTCATGCTTAGCGATGATCGATGTGAACGAAAATGATGCATGTCGATGTTGTCTACCCTGACCTAGCCCCCTCCCTTCTTCAACACATGGAAAACCTTAGGTCCATTTCACTAGGCCATGCGGCGGAGCGCCACTATGACGTCGTTCTCTTCTTTAAGCGCTCACGGGTTGTTGTGGAGCCTAGATATGACAAATGGAGATTTTGGTGTGTCTGGTCTCACTCCCGTGCCTTGGTGACTTTGTGTCGCTTTTGGGTTGGCCGATGTGTGTGAGCCTCTAGGTATGATTTAGTCCATCATAGGCACTTCCTAGCCGATACCTTCTTAAGGTCTGGGTTCGACCGGGTCCTGCCATCCACAACCATAAGCCTCCCTAGGAGCGGGGATAGGGGCACTACATTGACCTAAGCAACATTGGAGTCGTGGTCATGCTACATAGATGTCTAGCAATGGTCGTGACACAACTTGTATGTTGGGTATCCCGCCTCCTCGCTTTTCACGGTGAAGGCTGGGCAAGGGCAAGATCTTTATTGTTGCGGTACTAGTGAGAGTGCATTGTAAGCCAAGGCATCGTAGTGGCTACTCCTGTGAAAATGACACATCTTCCCATGATGTATACGTGGAAGACTCTGAACCACTGAACGTCCACTATCTCCGTCAGGATGAGCCGCTGACGCGTCGTTATCGCCCCTCCCATACTAGAGGCGATCTGACCTTGCCGATGATAGTTCGGAAGTCTTCGTGCACATGTGTGATATCCAGGCTTAATAGAAATGATAGACTATTCATATCAACAAGGCGGCCCTTCTTTTCAAAAAGCTCATCCTCAAGGAATCTTAAAGTAAAGCATGCTTGGCTTGAAGAAATTTAAGAACTTGTTCTCAGGTGCGCACGAGTGAGGACAAAATGTGCGGGAAATATTAGTGTTGGTATGTGAGGCCAGTCTAGATTCCAGACGCATCAACCAGGAATCGGTGGGTTTGGCAAGGGCATTACCGCGTGGCCCTAGCCCCTAAGGACCAACACTCTCGAGTCCCTTGAATCGATTTGAAACACCTGATGCCAGATCTCGATGTCATGAATGTATGACGAGAAACCCTAACTTTATCGTCCCAAGGAGACAGCAGGAATCTACACCAGAGCTTCATCGGTTCATCCCGACGGTCACCAGCCGTCGGAGCGGTAGGCAGGGGGAGGAGAACTCATGGGCTGGCCAGGGAAGCTTGGATGGGAGGAGAACTTCGCTCTAGCCGCCTAAGCGTATACCAAAAGACAATCTGATCCTTCAAGTTCGCATGAATTATGTCTTCCCATGATGTATCGTATATAGGGAAAAGAATTAGTGAGCGTGATGGCACAAACTCGCACTGGATCTCAAAGCACTGGCCACGAAAGTTGCAACGTGTTTTCATTATACAGATCGAGAACAACATTTAAAAAAAACGCATGCATACACAACCTTGGAAAAAAAATTATATGAGACCAAGTCTCACGGTTAGCAGGTGAGACCCATCCTGATGGATGACACGTGGCATTCACAAATTATAAAGCAGGTGCTTTGTGATTTGTGAATGCCACGTGTCATTCATCAAGATGGATCTCGCGTGATACCTGATCTCATAGAATTCTTTTCCACAACCTTGCAACCCAACCTCCAACCTTCCCCCATATGAATATCTGTCCCCGCGACTCCCGGGGAAAGCATGCGTTACTTGCCATCGCTGCAGCTCCATATATACAAGGAAATCAATCGAGCATATCGCCTGCAAGCAGTAGCAACCGAGAGAGATGTCCATGGCCGCCGCCGCAGCAGCGATCACGGCGGTGCTCCTGGCCGCGTTAATGGCACGAGCGTCGGCGGCGGCGGCAGGAAGAGTCTGGGCCGACGAGGAGAAGGGAGCACATAACGGCACGGCGAGAAGACAGGTCACGTACGACGGCAGAAGCCTGATGCTGGACGGCGCCAGGAGGATGCTCTTCTCCGGCGATATACACTACCCAAGAAGCACACCTGAGGTACCATGCCGTTTCCTGAATTGTTATGTTTCATGCGTGTGACCTTGTACTGGTTCTTTGTGATTGAAAGTGGATTCATCATTTTAATTTCGACGTTATTGTTCGAGCATTCACTGTGATGTGACCAGTGGTTTAGTAAAGCTTTCTGATGTGAAAAAACGTGCAGTTTTTAGTTAAATTTCAACAAGCTTTCTTGTACTGATTGATATTTTCGTGCGTGTCATTTTGTACCAATTCTTTTTTGCTTAGAAGTGGATCCCATCATTTCAAGTTGCAAATGCTGGGTTCCTTTTCTGAGTGTTTGAATAACTGAAGTGATTCACATAATCAGTCCATCGACCACAAAAAGGCGCACTTTTGTTTTTCAGTGCGTCTCACTTTTTCATCCAACATGGAAGAGTGACAGGTAAATGCTGCCGTAACTGTCAACCCCAAATAAGACATCATTTCAAGCATTTTTTAATTAAAGTAAATTCTTGATTGCTAGTACACTACAGCAGAAAATCTAACTCACTAGATAAACAGATTAGTTCAGTTAAAGTTTCACCCAGCAATCAAATTAGTTCAGTCAATACATACATACATACATACAGTAAGCAATCAAGCAATCAAGCATGCGCCACGAATCATACTGTATGAAGCAGAAAACCTCAGTTCCTTTCCTTCAAACTAATGTACAATCCAATTAGCAGATGTGGCCAAGACTCATAGAGAGCGCCAGGGAAGGTGGCCTGGATGTCATACAGACATACGTCTTCTGGAATGTCCATGAGCCTATCCAAGGTCAGGTGGGTGCTCCCTGCACAGCAACAGCAGGCAAAAGTTCAGTAAAAGAGCATTTTGCAGCTAAGAGTGTTCAAATTCATTTTTAATGTACCAGTACAACTTCGAAGGAAGATACGATCTTGTGAAGTTCATCAGAGAAATCCATGCTCAAGGCCTCTATGTGAGCCTCCGGGTCGGCCCATTCATCGAGGCAGAATGGAAATACGGGTAATGAGATGATGAAGTGCATTTCCAACATGAATTTCAGAGAAGAGTTTCATTTCTGTGGTGTCCTCAACATGTAAAGCTTTTACTAGATCTTTTATTCATGCAGAGGCTTGCCATTTTGGTTGCGCGGTGTCCCAAACATTACCTTCAGATGCGACAATGAACCCTACAAGGTATCAACTACCCAACACAGTGCCTTTGAAGCCTAGAACAATGATATGGTCAACCATATAACATACAGAATCTTGCTGCAGCGGGATTATTCAGAATAGAAATATAATTTCTTGTTTCCTTCAATCCTCTGTTCACATGGTAAAATGAGTTATAGTATTACCAAATATTCAGAATATTTTTTCATCGTAGTTCTAGCTTGTAAAACATCATACTACCCTCAGAAACCCATTAGCATAACCAAAATAGCCACAGGATGCATTTTAAGCAAGCACAAATGAAATGACAAATGATTGTGAGGTAAAATCATAATACATAGGTGAAAACAGATGTCTATGAGGCCAGACTATATATGAGGTGAGAGTAGTATATTGCATACAGTGATACAGACTTACCAACCTCACTGCCAGAAACAAACAGTGCAAGAAAACTGAAAAGATGCATCTACAAGAATATAGACTGTTTGGTTTGCAAAACCAGATTATGAATTGTCCGTGTAATCCTAACTGCACAAGCACCATAGAGCGACATTACGTCATGCTAAACTATCATGGTAGATGAATCGTACTTAAATATTGAATACGTGCAGGTACATATGCAAAAGTTTGTTGCTAAAATAGTTAACATGATGAAGGATGAAAAATTATACTATCCACAAGGAGGTCCCATAATCATATCACAGGTATTTCAGTTGAACAATACTTGACCCTCGTGCTCTGTATTAGCTGATCTTTTTGTGCAACCCTAAAATTTAAAATGCAGATCGAGAACGAATATAAGCTAGTCGAGGGAGCATTTCATTCAAGGGGACCACCTTATGTTCGCTGGGCAGCAGCAATGGCTGTAAACCTTCAGACCGGCGTTCCATGGATGATGTGCAAACAAGACGATGCTCCAGATCCCATCGTCAGTGCCCTTTCTTATACCATTATGCAGGATTGCAGATTATCCACAATTTGAAAGCAGTGTAACATTTATTACATGGTTAGATTAATACCTGCAACGGGCTCATCTGCGGGGAAACATTTATTGGGCCAAATAAGCCAAACAAGCCAGCTTTATGGACCGAAAATTGGACATCTCGGTGCGACAAACACTCTTTGCTTTTTCTCTGAGGATCTTTCACATTCCCAGGGGTATAACCATATAAGGCCT